TTTAAAAGATTGTTAGTTGAGTTTGAAAAAATGGTGGTAAAATCAAAATCATTGCAGTTTGTAAGATTCAATCAATTACTATGTTAAGAATCTCAAAATGGAAGAAATTGGAAATTTAAAACTGCTGTATTGATATTTTTCCCATCTCATCAATTTTTTTAGTTGATCATATAAAAAATGGCAGTAAACTTTTAATTTTGTTTTATGTTAAAAAATGTTAAAAATGGAAAAAAAAAAAAAACATTTCAGAACAGTGCTGTCTTGTTTACATTTTGGCATTTTCAAGTTGTGACTTTGAAGTTCCATGGGCCTGAAGACCTTTGCTAGTCACATTTTCTGAATATCCATGATAATAATATTTTATTATTAAAAATTGATGGTCATTATGCTGTTAAACATTATGTAATATTGCACCAAAATTTGAAAAAAAAACTATTTTGGGCACTGCTCCCATGATGACCATTTAAGAAAAACCATGTCACTTCAGAATCTCAGAATGGAAGAACTTGGACATTTAACACTGCCCTATTGATATTTTTCCCATCTCATCATTTTTTTTTTTTGGTTGATCATATAAAAATGGCAGTAAACTTTTAATTTTGTTTTATGTTAAAAATTGTTAAAAATGAAAAAAAAAAACCTTTTCAGAACATTGCTGTCTTGTTTTTTAATTTAAATTGAATGAGGAAAAAGTTTTAAGGACAATTGCAGGTGTTGAGCCATTTTGTCACAACTCTCTCATTTTGGCTGAGTGTGAACCTAAAGCTTAGGCGAGTTATACTGAGATATCATAGGATGTTTGGATACCAAATACATAAAGAAAAGCATCTATGGGTGCATTCCCATATATTTTAGATCGATCTATCCCCGTGGGGAGTCTCACTAGATTAATGTCAGATAATCCGGCTTAAATGTCCATCCCGCCTACTACAAGCTGTAATTAACTTTTGTGCCCGCTCGGCTGACAGCTACATGTATTTAGCGTGAACTCCCAGGGAGTTAGGTCGATCTAGTTGGATCGATCTAATCTCTGGGAAGGGGGGTCTTTGTTGTATTGTATTCAGCCTAATACGGTTATATTGTTTTAGGCATGTTGTACAGAGTCATTGTATTTCACCCTTTATTGTAATATTTTTTTTAAATTAGGACTTGACATAGGGTTCAGACGTTGATTTAAGGGCGAAATGAGGTGATATTGATAATATTAAACAGTGATTGGGTGTTACAGAAACTTTTTTACATGTACATATATATTATAAGCATTTTACTATCACTGTAGAGGGAATTATTAATATTGGTTGATTGCCCATGCCCTATTCTGTCATATATTTTACTATCACTGTAAGGGGTATTATTAATATTGGAGGATTGTCCATGCCCTATTCTATCATATATTTTACTATCACTGTAGAGGGTATTATTAATATTGGTTGATTGCCCATGCCCTATTCTATCATATATTTTACTATCACTGTAGAGGGTATTATTAATATTGGTTGATTGCCCATGCCATATTCTGTCATATATTTTACTATCACTGTAGAGGGTATTATTAATATTGGAGGACTGCCCATGCCATATTCTGTTATACATTTTACTATCACTGTAGAGGGTATTATCAATATTGGAAGATTGCCCATGTCCTATTCTGTCATATATTTTACTATTACTGTAGAGGGTATTATTAATATTGGAAGATTGCCCATGTCCTATTCTGTCATATATTTTACTATTACTGTAGAGGGTATTATTAATATTGGAAGATTGCCCATGCCCTATTCTGTCATATATTTTGACATTGTTGAGACGTTGTCAACTTGTTTTTAGAGTACTGTTCTTGTTTTTTATTCAATTGTGCAAAGACACCAGCTATATCATGAATATTTTTGATAAGAATTATTTTATAAATCAGTATTTTGTAGTATGGTACTATACATGTCTGTTAATTGCATTTTTGACACTTATAGTTGTACAGAAATGGGAGATATTTTTGTGATGATATTACTGTAAAAGGAGTTTGTGTTTAATTGAAATAATTGATAATAAAATAATAATATTATTTTTAACTTGTATAATCATGCTTTATCAGGCAAAGAGACTATATGCAGGTTGCTCATCTGAAAATCTTTATTTATTTATTCATACTGTTTGCTCAAACAGAATATTAGAGAAGAAATCTCTTGGGTCACATGTGTGGAGATCACCTGTGTTGTATGAAATTTGGGTTCATACACAGCAGACACAGCTTGTAAAATTGTTGTCTCGACAATAAAGTGTTCAGCATGGTTGCAGTTTTGGCAATAGTCCAAAGTGTATTCCCTTATTGGTAATGCATTAACAATTGCTTTTGACCGAAACATTTAAAGCATAAATTTTGTCCACAAATACAAAACTTAACTTAATTACTACGTGAGATAGCCTACTTATAGTATGTATAATTAGAAATAGGAAAAAAGTTCTTATCAAAATAAAGCTTTAATTTTTACTACAGTTGATGTGAATTTGACTGGCTTAGAATCTTTGCTTAAAGACTGAAAAATAAAATAATAAAAAAATATAATGCGACAGGCACAAATATTATCTACTTTAAACAGAAAATAAAAGACCCATTCATCACAATAAAAACAGTGTTTGGCTGTACTGGTGATTTCGCAAAAATATTGTAATCTTCACTATACTCTCAATGTTGTAGTTAATACACTCTGATTTGTAAATAAACCAGTCATATTTTCTGCCTGGCAGTAGGCCAACTTTTCTCCATGGCTACAGCTGTACCCGTTGACCATTTCCTTGATGACCATCGCCGTCCCAGTGCCCATGACAAATATCCCGAAAAATGTGGTCAGTAACATGGGGATGTTCTTAATACAGAGAACTGGCTCATGTTGGAGCTTCATAACACATGCAGGGGGAATGATGAAGGCTAGTGGAGCAGCTGCTAGCACCCCCTGAAATACATATTTTTTAGGAAAATAAATGTTCCATTTTTTGAAAATCCCTGAAATATTTGAAGAAAAGGTTTCATTATGTAAATCTGTGTGGATAAGGACTATTTCCCCC